TGTGTATAAGAGACAGCATCTTGAATGACATACTGCACACGAGCATTGTGTACAGGCGTCTATGGTTTACAGTCCTTATCAGAGAAACTTGTCTTACCAACAGAACAGGCAAGCACTCCGAAACTAGCTTAGCATTTTGACCCACCAACAATTGTTTAACAAAAATATTAAGCAAGTATTCAGCACCGAGTACATACCTTTGTATAACTTTGGTTTTTTTGATGTTGATGCTTCTCCATTACCTATTGAGGAAACAGAAATTGAATTTGCACATTAGCAAAATAAATACAGTAGAGCATAAATTAGTACAAAATAATACATTTTTTCCAATTTGGAGAATAACTTAGCTTAGAAAGTCAGAAACCAGTAACAGCACTTGTAAGGATAATCCTTATAGAAAATGTAGTCAAGTCAGAATTAATTATCACTCAAACTGACTGTTTGCAACTACAATTGAAAACATAGTACATATTTCTAGATTTACAACAATAATTTTAATGTTTGGATTTCAAATGGATTAAAAGCACAAGACAGGACTTTCTACAGAGAATTCTAGAGAGTAAGCATAGCCTATTAATGTTTTAGTACTTGGTACTTGATAACTGCAATCCAATGTTAAGGGTATGGATGTAGTTATGGTGGGTGGAAGTGGGCTGATCCAACCTGCCTTAAAGTTTTCCACCCAGTCTAAAGCTAATTTCATGGCCTTCCACCCACCCTTATTAACCCACTTTTCCATCCTTAAAATCAACTCTTATTATTTAAAGTTTACCAATGTTATCACCCAGCCACACTTAAAATGTCTATCACCTACCCTTAGTTTTCTAAAGCTACAACCCTGTAAGGTACAACAACAATTTCTCAACACTGTTTGCATTGCACCAGTGTAAAATTTCTAAGCGATGGGAATTAACCACTCAACCCTATTTATTGTCACAGGCACCAGGGCTATTAACATTTCTTTGCATTCTTAGTTAAAAGTTAAAAACAAATTTTAGAGTTAACAGTTAAGAAACATTTAAAACCATTACACTGTATTCTATACCATATTTGCATATTGTTATTTTTTTTTATACTCCAGAGGTTTGGTATTCTAGCAACACCACTGAACCATAGTAATTTGGTTTATTCCATTTACATGAAATTAAATCAGGCAAAAATAATTTCACCACAATTACCTTGCTTAACACTTGGCCTATCTAAAATTGGACTTGCTGATACTTCTGATCTAACTCCATCACCTATATACAGAAATTGAAAATTGTTTCAGATTTTCTATAAAATTACATCAAAATTGTTCATTGCATTGCCCAAAACCACAAACATATGTGTCAAAGACAAGCCAAACCAGTCACTCGTCGCAAAAATCGATTTTGAGTTATTAATACAGGGTTAAAGAGTAAAATAAGAGCTATAAAATGGTAAAAAAAATCGTTCAAATCCGACATTTCCTTCTGAAGTTACAAGCATTTAAGCGTATAGCTGTTTGAAGAACAATATATGAGAAATGAGCCTTCAAAGTTTATGATTTCAGGCATTTCTCATGCAGAAACTATCATAAAATCATTAAAAAGTGTTGTTTTAACATAGAAATTGGGAAAAATAACAGCACAGCATGATGTATAGATACATAAACCTTAGTTTAGTGAAATAAAATAGATTTTTAAAAATTTTACATTCTAGCATGTTTTTGCTATTTTCTCTGAAACACAATTTGCGACGAGTGACTGGTTTGACTTGTCTTTGCCACATATAGAACAATTAAAAGAACCAATTACGAATATGAAGTAAATTATTAAAAGTAATTACACAACATAACAATTTTAAGAGTTTTGCTATAGTACTGTTAGTTGAAAAACAGCAAAAGTTGCACTCATGTTCACATTTTTGGTATTGTCACATAAATTATTATAAATTATATAAAATGCAACCAAAAATAAACTTATTTAACCTCCCAAATTAATTGAATAAGTTTCAATTATTAATACAAAGAGAAATATAATAAAGGTTCTGGGAGTGTTAAATGGTGTACCTGTATGTATGTGGGCATGTATGTTTTTGTGGGCATGTATGTATGTGTGTATGCGGTGCCTCTATGCTACTACAGTATCCCTTACCTAAGCTTATATAGTGTAGCTCTCCAATTTGACCAAATAACATTACACCATCTGGGTTTGAACTTTCTTGAATTGTTGTGACCAAGTAGCCCTGCTCTGTGCTTTTTCTTTGACTGGTCACTATTTGGAAGTTGTAATTTAATATTCGTGACATCCCTCTTATGGCTGTCTCGTCAACAAAAGTACCATCTTTACTCAATTCATCTAGATATTTGTCATCTGTAAGGGCGATCAATGGATCTTCTTTATCCTGGAAAAAATTTAGAAATTGCTAAATGCAATAAAACACAATGTATCAAACAACACTTGGATAATACCATGGAAGTATAATGATAATACTATGGAATAATCTACACAATTACCAAATGTCGCAAGTAGTCCACTAAATCAGCCCTGAGTTGTGCACTAGATCGATTTGGTAAACCCAGTCTCTCAAATTGATCTTGGATGCAGTATAAAAAACAGTTCCCATCACCACTAACATCCTTTCTTATATGCATGTTTGACTGTCTAATATTCTCTTTCAAACGGTTGTAGTAAGATGTGTATGTTTCACCCTCTTTCTTACTGACTGCTCTCTTGTACACTGAGAAAAAAATGCACACAAAAAATTATGACACTACAATTAATTGAACAATATGACAATGGCAACTTCAGAATTAAACCTACCTGAGCGTACACTTGCACAGTGCTGGCTCTAAATGTTGGATGAAATGATAGATAAAATATAAAGAGGGTTCCTAGATTAAGCATGATTAAAAAAGTAGACCATCACTGGAGAATGAAATGTGAAATATTAGAGTACTTGTAATCTTGCAGGTAAAACACAAGAGGCAAAAACAAAATTTTTAAATTAGTCTTGTGTTGTGTACATAAAACTGTCTAAAATAAAAAATTGGTAAACTTCTCCATTAACAAACATAGCTCTGTACCTTCAAGTTCCAGTAAAGCTTTCAGAGCTTTGTCACTTGGTAATCCTTCAATGAAATCATCAATTTTTTCTTCACAAAGCTCATTCCTTTGCTCTAGATCCAGAATCAAATGCCAGCTATCTTTATAATTCTTTAACACTGGCATGTTATATCGTACATCAAGCGCTACTATATCATTATCAGTTAGTGTCATTCCTAGCTTCAAGAGGAACTGTCTGTACCATGAGAATTTAGACACTTCATGTTCCTTGATTGTTTGTAAAGTTGGAAGTACAATTCTGGATTTGAAGCCAAATTGTCCAGTAACTTTTATTGTGTCATAAAGGATAGTGAGATCTGTTAGACTCAAACTCCCAGAACCAATTAACATACTTAGCAAGGGCATCACCTTAGTAGCCTCATTTAAATTATTATAAATTGGCACGTGATCTCTATTGTTGTACAAAACTTTTAGCATATTGATGTATCCAAGTCCATCATACCAACTTGAAAAATCCACCAACAGCTGGCTGAAATCTCTTTTTGAAAGTCCTACGATACAAGCGAAAATAAATTGACTATCATCAATAATAGAAATATACAATTCAGGAAAATTTTAAGCTACAATGAAAAATGTGTATTTGATAAACATCATCATTAATCATCCATTATAGTCATTAAAATCATCATTATAGAAGTGAAAAATAGACAGCAAAGAAGATAAAAACTAAATTGAAGATTAAACAATGGAATTAATCAATACATGTTTAGAAACCTGAACAAATTCTAATTTATTTTAAAATAATTGCATTAAAGACTTTTTGTGGAAGTGTATAACAAGCCAAAATGTCTACTGTAACAGAGTAAACTTAATGTGTATAATTCAGTTGGTTTAGATGAAGTACACCAACATTGAATAAAGATGAAAATATCCAGGTTTTGTTAGTTTAATTAATTAGTCATTTTCAAGTAACCTACCGTAATCATGGGCGATTTTTCCTACATTTGTGTTGTTTTATATCATTAAATAATATGTTAATTTGGGAAGATAAAATAGACAAGACAGTCACTTTAACTATATACACTTTGAAATTCACTGTAAATATTTATTTACTTTACCTTCCAAGAGGCAAGGTAGGATTTGCATGTACAGTACATACAGGTAAGATTATTACCAATGATCAGGGCAATGTGAAGTCCTTTGAAATAGTTACACACAACAATGCCAACAACAATTACTTTATAAACAGTATTTTACCTGTTTCCTCCATTCTTCCTTTGTAATCTACTTCTCACAACAATTTATACAATAATTCACTCAAACTGTTGGAATGCACAAGCTTTCACACTAAAACAGATTCAATAGAAATGAAGATGTTCTTAATATTCTTTATATAACTGTATTACCATCATTTTAATAAAATATTTAAATATTTATTGTGTTTCACCAATGTTTTTACTTTTTAGTCAAAGCAGTTTATTTAAAAACCTCAGAGTAAAATACTAATACATTTAAAGATGTACTATCAGTCAAAAGAATAATAAATAATAAATCAAAAATTCAAATAATCTGTTTTGTTTTCACCAATTTAGATGTTTTACAAGAAAATGCTTATACTGTACTGATTACCGGATATCATGTGACACCATTTCATTTACTAAATTTGCATTATTACAACTCGTGTATTAAAACCACTGATTCTTTAACAACCCATGGAAGTCTCAACATCTGTTTTAAAAAGCCAAAATACTGAAAGTTCTTTGAAGGCAGTAGATTAATATCCAATTTTTTTTTAAATTTCTGAATATTTAGAATATCGATAACATAAACAAATTACAAACTAGCTAAAGTGGGCTGCATAGTCAATTCTCGATTACTACTCAGTTGCCCCTTACATTGGCAAGAGCATTACAATCTTTAAAATTCTACTTACCAGGTAAGTTTTTTTAATACCAAAATGTCCCCCCCCCCAACACTCTGATTTCAGTTGCCTTTCTCTTCAGCTCTTAGATGAATTGTATCATCACATCTTGGCTCACTTTTTGTGTTACTGGTAAGGTTTATTCCTGTAAAGTCATAAATATTTTATTTATCATCTTTTCTTTCTTGGCTAACAAAATCAATAAGCAATGATATAATAATTATAAAAATAATTTTAACATATATGATTTTATATCAGTTTACTTTCCTTTGACCTAATTTTATTATAGTATCTTGAATTTTATTTGACTAGCAACTCTTACTTGACTTGCTCTTACTTGTACGATGGGAAAAGAATTGAAAAGTAGTGTATTAAAATAGGTATATGCATTACAATGCAGTAATACTCTGAACTCTAGCATTGTTTTAGTTACCATATGAGAGTTTCCTGTGTTAAAAACATGATTTACTATGCTATACCTCTTTATAAAACATAACTTGTACTTTATAATAAGAGAAATCTGTA